GGCAACAGTGACAAGGACGTCATTGTCTAATGTGCTCCACACACGCCGTCTTTCATGCTGGTGACCTGGGTGCCGTCACATTCCCGGAGGCGGGCACTGTCTTTATGGCCACTCACAGACATGGCAGTGGAGGCTTGGAGAGCTTCAGCTGCACTCTCCCAGCGTCCCTCTAAAGGCTGGTGGTTAGGGGACAGTGTGCTAGAATGCTAACCAATAAGCCAGCAATTCACATCTACTAGCTCTTCTGGGAGAAAGAAGGGCAGTTTCCTCCCGTAAAGGTTTACAACCTTGAAACCCAATGGAGCATCTTTAGGACTTGGACTCTATTTGAGGCGGTGGTTTTTGTGTTTCACTTTTGGGAGTTTGGGACATTGCTCTTCAAGCAGTAAGCTGGTCAAGGGCTCTAACTTCAGTTTCTGGGATTCACCTGTTTGAGACTGGAAAAGAGGAAGGAAAGGAGGAGGGGTGACAGGCAGTGAAAGTCACTGGTTACAGATAGAACAGAGTCAAATCAGGGATGAGGAACAGGAGGGACATAGATTAGGGAGAGGCTGCCCTGGGTGGGCCTAGAGGACAGATTTACTCCACAGGCTGTTCTAGAACTGGGCTCCCAAGAGGAACACTGCTGGCTTGGAGTGAGCTGAGCCCATGATACATGCAGCAGTGGGGAGGATGGTCCACCGAGCGTCCACCTGCTGGCGTGGACTTCTCGCCTTGAGTTCCATGTCACTCGCAGAGATCCCAGCCCGACGCTTGTCTGGACGTGGACCCTCCTCCTCCTCTTGTTGCTGCCTCATCTCCAGCTCACAGCTGGCCCTCCAGTGGGGTTCCCAGGCTGCCTGTGAGCAGGAGAATGCCCATCTCTCTTCCCTCCCGAGGAGCCACTGTGGATTCGAACCCAAGAGAAGGAAGGCTTTTTGAGTTAGCATAGCAACATTGCAGGGACTGCGTCACCAGAGCAGGTGTGAATGGGAGGGCTAACTTCTACGGGCCCTGTAGGGGCCCTGCAGTGTAACTCAGAGAGCATCATCCTGAGGTCCCTGTTGGTCAGCATAGCCCTAGATCATGTTGCTCTTTATTTGGAACTGGAAGTTGGGCATTTCTCTAATCAAAAGAAGTCCCCAGGTTCAATTCTGCCCACACAGGGAAGGCCCAATGCTAAGCACAAGGGGAAAGAAAGCACAGTTCTACCCAACAAGACCCCTGTGACAGCTGGTAACCGTTGTTCCTTAGGGGTCACACAGGCTTGATTTAGGGACTCCTGGGTCTGGAGCTTGGTGCTGTTGTTAGGTGATGCCAAGTCAAGTATAACTCCTCCAAACCCTGTCCTCTCCTGCGCCATCCTCATCACCTCGACATACCTGGGCTCACTGCTGTACTCACTGTGCCAAGCCTTTCCTTTGAGTGTCTTCATCTCTTTTGCTGATCCTTCACCTTTCCCAACACGATGTCTCTTTCTAAGGAAAAGCCTCTCTTAACAACATGTCCAAAGTATGTGAGATGAAGTTTCACCATCCTTGCCTCTAAGGGGCACTCTGGTTATAAGTTTTCCAAATCTATCTATTTGTTTTTATGGTAGTCTTCTCCAATACCACAACTCAAAAGAATTGCTTCTTCTTCTGCCATCTTTATTTTTTATTTAGCTCTCAATGCATAGCAATTGGAAAGATCATGCACCTTAGTCCTCAAACTGACATCAGTTTGAGTCTTCAAACTCAAACTCAGTGGACTTGCCCTATGCAATATGTCTTCTGATCTGACTGCTGGTACCAAGGGTGTTGCTTGTGGATCCAAGTAAGATGAAATGACTTTATACATCTTACCTGGAACTTGATGAGCTGTGTTGTCCAAAGTGGGGTGGCCTATGTGTCTCACCTGTAAAGTGGGTAACAGTACCCACATGATGAGGGACACAGGCCCACCCAGCCAGAATGCTGCTGGGTGCCTGCAGGAAGGAGATGCAGTTCCACCCTCTGCTGAGAAGGCACTCAGGAGATCTTGCAGAAACCAACATCGGGTGTGGAGATGCTGCACCTTTGGGCTGACCTAATTCAGTGATTTACAGTCCATTTTATTGATGAGAAGGCAGAGACATTTAGTCTCTGGGACTGGGGGCTAGACCCTAACATCTCCCCATGTATGCAGTGCTGCTGTGGGCTACTTCACGCAGTCTTCACATCAGCCTCATAAGGGGGCTACTAGTGTGACTGCTTTACCCGCTACCTCTGCAGTCAATTGATTCTGACTCACAGCAACTCTCTATCAGTTTCCAAGAATGTAAATCTTTATGGGATGAGACTTCCCAGTGTCCTTTCTTAGAGTAGCTGATGGATTTGAACCTTTCAGTTAGTTATGCAATGTAACACCAGAGCTCTTTCTACTGAGGTGCTGAGAGGCTAACTGTTTCCACAGATGCCAAGAGGGAAAGCCAGGCTCAAGCCACACAAAGCCAGGACCTATAGCGTTATGTTACTCTTTCCCACCCCTTCATTGTGAAAGGCCCCTCTAAGGACCAGAAAGGCAGAGCCTGCGGAGCCCCTGATGGTCTTCCCTTGTGGATGTAGCGCTTCCCTTCTCGGAGACCTTCCTCATCAGAGATCTCAGAGGGTCCTCATGAAAAAGAAAGAAATCACTGCAGCATTATTTAAAACAGTAAAAAGGTGGAAAGAGCCCAAGAGCCCACCAGAAGATGAATGGTATGTTTCCACAATGGAGTACTATGCAATGCTAAAGAACAATGAAGAACTCACGGAACACTGTACAACATGAACTGATCAAGTGGAAATGAGGGTGAGAGGCATACATCAGTCACCAAAGGACTATTATGACATTAAAACTCATCACTTTCACGGAACCCACTCATAGCTGACCTTCTAGCAAGTTTTCAGAGGCTATAAATCACATGGTTTTTGCAATCACTTGTTATGCATCAGAGAGTTGGACAATGACCAAGGAGGATCGAAGGAGAATTGATGCCTTTGAGCTGTGGTGCTGGAGAAGAGTATTGAGAATACCATGGGCTGCTAGGAAAACAAACAGATTTGTTCTGGAAAGGGTTAAACCGGGTGGCTACTTGGAGGCAAGGATTCTGAGGCTCCGTCTAACTTACTTTGGACATGCTGTGAGGAGAGACCGGTCCTTAGAGAGGGACATCATGCTTGGGAGGGTGGAGAGACAGCGCAGGAGAGGAAGGCCCTCTATGAGGTGGATTGATTCAGTGACTGGGATAATTGGGATGGGAGTGTCAGAGACAGTGCGATTGGCACAGGACAGAGCGGAGTTTAGGGCTGTTGTACATAGGATCGCTATGAGTCGCAGGCGACTCGACAGCACATAACAACAACAACAACAACAACAACAACATAAATCACATGAAAGGAGATTGCCACCAGAACTACCTATTACAGAATAAGGCCACAATTATAAAAAGCTAAGGAAAAGTTCACACACAGAATAATTCCTGGAGGGAGGAAGGGGAAAGTAAAAATGAAAAGATAATTGGGTGAAGGGAAAGGCAATGTAAGGGGTTGGTAAAACATTAGAATCAATTGGTTAATTATAATTAAGGGTACAAAACAAAATGTGTATAGAATGATTGAACAAAAATCAGTATAATTTACATACTTTTGAATACTGATCCACAAGCATCTAGTTTGAAAATGGCACAGCAATAGTCAATTTCACAGGTGAAAAAAACCTAGTCCCCTTTATTTTTCAAGTAATGACAAACTTCTTGAAAGGAGCTCTAGTAGCCTGGTCTGCAGGGACCTACACTGCTAACCCAAATGGCCCACATCTCTGGTAGTTTGAATTGGCCAGTGGCTCCTTGACAGGAAGATGGGAAATCTCCTTTGCAATTTACAATCTCAGAAACTCAAGGAAGGTCAGTTATGAGTTGGCACTGGCTTGATGATAATGAGTTTGGGGTTTGGGGTTTGGGCCACATTCTTGTAATGTCTGTGGAATTCCAAAAAATCCTGCTTTATGTCAGGGCCTGAGCTTTCCCTTCTCTTTCCTTCGCTGTCTGTCTCAGATACCTCTTCCTCCAGGAAGCCTTCCTGAATCTCCATTACCCACATCACCTTACTCAGAGGTAATGGTACCCTGGGACCCTGTCTACACATGGGGTAGATTATCTGCTACCTCAGTTGTGCAGTCACCTAGTATCTGTTCCTTGTGGACTGAGGACTCAGGAGCTACACATCCCCTGTGGCAGACCTCCGGCTTGTGCTGGGAGTCCAGTCCTGCAGCAGTCCACAGTGGTGACACAGAGAATCATGTGGGGTCTAGTGTGTTAGTTCAGTGTTCCCAGAGTCTCACCCCATGTACAATTTTGGCTGAGTTTCTTTGCCTACATCTCTGACCCAGCTTTGTCAAGGTCTGCAAACCCACTCACATGCAGCAGCTTTTTGTTATTGACTGAGTTGATGCCTGTTTCTGGTGACTCCACTTGCCTCAGAGTAGAACAGGGTTCCACAGGGATGTATTTCACCAGGCCCTTCTTCTGAAATGCCTGTGGGTGAATGTCAGCTTCCAGTCTTTCCTATATGCACTCAGACTCAAACTCACTGGTCCCAAGTGGGTTCCCAAGCCTGTGACTCATAGGGGGAAGGGGCTGTCCATCTTGCTCCCAATGAGGGGCTGGTAGATTTGAATCATCACAGCCAGGACCTTTAGGCTAGCAGCTCAACTTTCTATACACTAAAATACCAGAGCTCCTTCTATGCACATGCTGCTGTTGTTGTCTGTCAAGTCGGATCCTACCCCTACAGTGGGCTTTCAGAGGTGGTAAACCAAACAGGAGGAGACTGTCTCCCATAGAGCAGTTGGTGGATTTGAACCTTGTGCCTTTGGGTTGGCAGTGTAGCTCTTTATCACTTGGCCACCAGATAAGCACTAGTGACAACTAAGAGAGACAAGACTGCAGTTAAATCCTATCCTCCGAGGGGCGAGCTCAGGTGAGGTGAGAGGCCACTAACACTTCGAGCTTGCACACTTACCTTCTACAGGTGAGGTCTTGAGGCGCCGGCAGATGGCCTCAGTGTCGCCGTAGGTCTCCTTGATCTTGACCACAGCCTCCGTGCCCCGCAGCTCCATGAGGGAGCGGAGCTCCTCCATCGTGCACCCAAACTCACCCCCATGGCTCGACTCATTTCTTTGGTTTTTGGAGTAAAAGTCACTGTTGGTCATGTCACCCATGATGGCTGCAGTCCCCTCCTGGGGTCAGTGCTGGGCAAGAAAGTGTGGGGAGATGGCTCCGAGTGTCTTTAGCTCCACTTCACTGGATTACTCCTGGCTCCAGACTGTGTTCCAGGGGAAGGGGGTGGCCGAGGTGGCCTGATGACCGTGGTGCTGAGCTCCAATAGGGGTCCCCAGGTGCAGGAAGAGATCCAGGGGCCAGATGGGCTCAGGGTTGCAGACCCAGAAGTCTCCATTCAGCGGGGCCCATGCTGTTCCCAGAGCAGGCATCTACATGGTCAGGGCAGCGGCTTCTGTGGGGTAAGCACAGAAGAGTGAGTCAGCAGACTGCAGGCTTCATTGGACAGGCCGTCAGGAACACTACAGTGCACACCATCTCCCCACACCCCACTGACAGATGCACACATGTGCACAGACACACACATAAGAACACACATGCAGATATCACCCAAGCAACATTCCTTTTATACACATATACCAAAGCAAGGGTTTAATAAATCCACTGCTGTTGAATAGATTTTGACTCACAATGACCCTGTTAGGCAGTAGAAGTGCCCTCTCAGGTCCCTGTGGCTGGAAGTCTTTATAGATGCAGATGATTCATCTTCCTCCTGTGGAGTGCCTGGGGGTTCTAACCACCAATCTTTCAGTTAGCAGCCTCTGACCATCAGGACCTCTGGGCATTTCCCTACATCATCACATGACACTTGCACATACTGCAAACCCATATGGTGCCTATACCTGCCCAGGCACTCCTTAACACAGCACTGGGGAGGCATAGGCTGAGCATGTCATCATGCACAGTCTATGTCAACACAGCTATGCTGTATACCGACTTGTGCACCCTAGGTGCACATGTGATAGGCATACACAGATCAGGGTGCGCACATAGTTCAGGTATACACATAGCTTGGGTGCACACACAGCTTGGTATGCACACACATCTAAGGGTGCACATACAGTTCAGGGTACACACTCAGCTCAGGGTGCACACACCACAGGCATGCACAGCTCAGAATGCACATATAGCTTGAGCTCTGGATATACACACAGCTTGAGGTGCACACACAGCTTGGAGTGCACACATTATAGGCACACAAAGCTCAGGTTGCATACACAGGTTGGGGTGCACACACAGCTCAGGGCGCACACACCACAGGCAGATACAGCTCAGGGTGCACACACAACTGGAGCTTGGGATATACACACATTTAGGGGTGCACACACAGCTTGGAGTGCACACACCACAGGCACAAACAACTTGTGCACACACAGCTCGCACTCAGGATATACACACAGTTCAGAGTGGGTGCACAGCTCAGAATGCACATACCACTGGCACATACAACTCTTGCACATGCCACAGGCAAAGCTCGGGGTGCACACGTGGCTTGAGCTCGGGGTGTGCACCCAGCTCGGGAGGGACACACCACAGGCACACATGACTCAATTACACATGCTACAGGCACGCGTAGCTCAGGGTGTACACCCAGTTCGGGGTGCACACAAGGCTTGAGTGCACACATCCAACTTGTGTCTAGGTTCTGACCCACTGCCACACACACTTTAACAGAAGGCCTCCTCCACACCCGTGTACTCTAATGTACACACACATTGCCACACATGCACATACATTTTAACATTCCCACCACTTTTTTACCAAATCACCTGCCCTCACAGTCCCTCTGTGCACACATTGACTTCAACTCCTCTTTCTCTCATTATCTTCAACATGCTTATAACCCCTTTCCCTCAGGCTGGGAGCTGACTGGCCCAGGCCCTACTTGGAGATGCCCACACACTCACAACGCCTACCCTTGCAGATTCACACCCTTCTCCTCACACTCCCTCTGCTCTCATCTTGCACACGTGTGTGAGTAGGGCAGCTGGAAGAAAACAACTCACCTCCACTCAGGTCCACCACCCACAAGTGCCAAGCTCCCTACCAGGCCAGATGAGGCCCCTCATGCATATTCATGAGGGTGTCCCTAGTCCAATGCCAGGACCCTGGAGGAGGTCAGCCGACCTTGAGCCCTCACCTGGGGGATTCCCCCATAGCCCGCACCATGGACAGCGGCTGCGTGAAGTCCCTTTGGCGAGCTGAGCTGGCGGCGCAGGAGGAAGCAGCGTGGCCCCGCCCCACCCGGCGGCCACCCTGTCCAGCGCATCTGCCAGCAGAGAACCCAATCCGTGTGGACACCTAACACTGCGGCCAGCCCGGCAAGCGTTGGGTGACAAAGGGCTCCTGCTGGGCTCGGCTGGTCCTGGCACAGGCACAGGCCCCGCCCTGCAGCCGTGGACAGCTGGCCCTCCTGGGCTCAGGGCAGGGCGACCAAGCCCCGGCAAGCCCCCTCTCGTTCACTGTCCTGTCCTCCTGCACACGAGGAACTTTAGAGATAATCCTATGTTCCTTCCAGCGAGGAACCTGACGTGCAGGGAGGGAAAAGGGCTGGTGCTGAGCTCCCAGAGGGAGCGGCCAGAGCAGCTGCTGCCCGGACCCCAGCCCAGCAGCCTCGCCCCTTCCCCCTAGGGGGCGCGCTCTCTTCTGTCTTGGAGTCTGGTCACTGGACAATGCCAGTTAAGAACAAAGGACTTGGAATCAGATCTGCCTGGATTCACATGTGAGCCCTCCTAAATCCTGGTTGTGTGGCTCTGGGCAAGTCACTTCACTTTTCAGAACCTCATTCCCTCATCTGTGAAGTTGTTATGCTATTGTTAGGCATAGCCAGATCGAGTACAATTCACAGTGACCCTGGGAGCAGCAGATGTGAACGCTGTCCTGTCCTGCGCCCTTCTCATTGTCTCTGACACACATGAGCCCCTTGCTGCAGCCACTGTGTCTGTCCTTGTTGAGGTGCTTCCTCTCATTTGCTGACCGTCCAATTTTCCAAGCATGATGTCATTTTCCAAGGACTGGTATCTCTTAACAACATGTCCAAAGCATATGAGATAGAGTTTAATGATCTTCCCTCTTAAGAAGCACCCTAAGATCTGAATCCACGTTGTTCTTATGGCAGTCTATGGGATGTTCAGGACTCTTCTCTAACACCACAGCTCAAAGATGTTGATTCTTCTACTCTCTTCCTTAGTCAATACAGTGTAATGTAAGAAGATTCACTCTTCTCCGCATCTCCCCTTCTCCCTCCTCCGCCAATGTCTACCACCCTGCTCAAAAGCAGCATTTTCACCTGGGGTATAAGGCTTTCTGGTATGGGTTTGGGGTGCTAGAGTTCCAGGAGAAAGCTACTGTACCTTCCAGAAGGGGCAATTTTATTCAAGCGAGGAGTGTTGTGAGCTGCTGCCAAGTAGATCCCTGGCTCATGGCGATCCCATGTACGGGGAAAACGAAATGCTGCCCAGCTTTGTGCCACCCCAAGAAAACTGAATTTTCATTGTTTGGTTTTCAGAAGTAGATTGCCAGGATTTTCATCCTAGTCTTAGTTCAGAAGCTACTCTGAAGCTGTCTCAGCATTCCAGCAACATGTAAGATTCACTGACAGATGGAGACTGGTTATATATGAAGAACAATGACCAAGAATTGGAACCTGCATGGAAAGTGAGCATCCTACTGCAGAACCATCACTGGCCCCAACGATGCAGTAGGGAGCATTAACTCAACACCAGGATCCCCAACAGATGTCTCCTGGAAACATGCTGTGTGCTTGGTGTTCCCCTGAGATTCTGCATAGCTGGTTGGGTTCCCTGGCCAATTGAGCATGCACATGACCTGTGGGTTTTGACCCCAACCCTGTACTCAGGAAGGAGAGGGCTGATCAAGAATGTCTGAACAAGAACACTATTCCTCAGGCCATTATTTCTTGCTGAGACTGAGGAGGACCTGAAGCGCTTGCTGCAGAAGATCAAGGACTACAGCCTCCTATATGGACTGAAGCTCAACATCAAGAAAACAAAGATTCTCACCACTGGGCCAATTGGCAGCATCAGTATGGAGGGTGAAGAGATTGAGATTGTTAACAGTTTTAGTTTACTTGGCTCCACAGTCAACACTCTTGGTAACAGCAGACAGGAAATCAGGAGACGAATTGCATTGGGAGAGTCAACTGTGAGGGACCTCTCAAGAGTACTGAAGAGCAACAACATCAGGCTGGAGATTAAGGTGCGCCTGATCCGGGCTATAGTCTTCACAATTAAGTGCTATGTGTCAGAGAGTTGGACAGTGAATAGGGATGATAGAAAGAGAATTGATACCTTTGAGCTGTGGTGCTGGAGAAGAGTGTTGATTATACCATGGACTGCTAGGAGAACAAACAGGTTTGTCCTGGAGAGGGTGAAGCCGGAAAACTCCTTGGTGTCAAGGATTCTGAAGCTTCATCTGACATACTTTGGGCATGTTGCAAGGAGGGATTGGTCCTTGGAGAAGGACATAATGTTTGGCAGAGTGGAGGGGCGGCGCAGGAGAGGAAGAGCCTCGATGAGATGGATCGATTCTGTGACTGATAAGTGCGTTTGAGATGGCTAGGCTGGCACAGGATAGAATGGCGTTTAGGGCTCTTGTACATAGGGTCGCTATGAGTCACAAGCAACTCGATGGTACATAACAACAACAACAACAATGTGTTTTAGGCCCTATGCAAAACTCTCTGTGTGGTGGCTGAAGGTGGTGAGTCCTAGAAGGGCAATGAGTTCGTTTGCTTGGCTTTTTGCTCTGGCTGGGCTTCTAGAAAGTGTGCAACAAACATTTGTTGACCTAATAAATTATTAAATAAGAAGCAATCAGATACGGTTTTATTGAGTGCCCACAGCCCTCCTAGGGGTGTGGCCTCCTTTACAGACAAAGAGAATGAGAGTCAGAAGAGTGAAGTGACTTGTTCAAGGTTACACAGCACAGAATAGTCACCACTCAGCACTTGGTAGCACAGCCAGGAAGAGGAAAAACCAGGTGGACACCTTTGGCCCCAGACCTCCCTAAATTCACGGGCCTGGGTAGAAGGTCACTTGCAACTTTGGTGAGTTGTCTAGCCTCCCAGAGTCTCATTTTCAGCACCTCCAAGTTGAGGATGTTAATATAGAACATAATAATATAATGATATTGTTACT